GGCAGGCTATAAGTTGGTGATTGATGGAGGCATCACTCTCTGTTAGTCCCAGCGCAGACACCACAGACAAAGGCCAGAGATGTGAGACACCTGTGATTGGCAGAACTTCTTTACAGTGTGAACAAAGTGAAAGCTATTGTCAGTTAAACTCCACATACACCATCTGGTTTTTTATATTAAAGTGTTTGCAAACCTAAAAAAAAAAAATCATGTTACTGGCTCTTTAATGTACATTAACGCGTTCTTAAATTTCCCTGGGTTTTTTTAGGCTGCCATTGTTCTATAATACCTAGTTGATCCTTGCCTGTGCCGTCCTCCTCATCAGCATTGGGGCATCCTGAGTCAAAATCTTTGTTACATCGTATCTTGCATCTTTCAGAGCAGGTAGCTGATATTTGTGATATACACAAATCTTTGTTACATTGTATCATGCATCTTTCATAGAGGGTAGCTGATATTTTACACAAATTTTGTTACATTGTATCATGCATCTTTCATAGAGGGTAGCTGATATTTTACACAAATCTTTGTTACATTGTATCATGCATCTTTCAGAGCAGGTAGCTGATATTGTGTGATATACGCAAATCTTTGTTACATTGTATCATGCATCTTTCATAGAGGGTAGCTGATATTTTACACAAATTTTGTTACATTGTATCATGCATCTTTCAGAGCAGGTAGCTGATATTGTGTGATATACGCAAATCTTAGTTACATTGTATCCTGCATCTTTCATTGCAGGTTACTGATATTGTGTGATATACACAGACACTATGGGGTTGATTTACTAAAAGCAAATACACCGTTCACTTTGCAAATAAAATTTTCCCATAGCTTACTGATTGTCGAGAAATTTCACTTTGCAAGGAATACCCACAATGCTAACACACAATTTTCTAAAATAAAAAAAAAAATGAATGGGTAGAAAAACTTTTACAAAAATAAATTATAACTGATACTAACATTAAAACCTGCTGGGGATGTCGATCTCCATTCCCAAATCCACCTACAATGTCTTTGGAGGGCTTATTTATTCAAATCACCCCCTCTGGGGTTATTCCTTGATACCTCTATTACCCAGAATCTTTGGAAATCTTGTCCAAAAGTATCTAGCCGCCAGTGTTTGCATACTGAGGTTCTTCTAATCAAGGTCATATAATTGTTTTCCATTTCTGGCTCTGGCTCCAGCACTGCTTCCTTCACTTACTACTTTCACAGGATAAACTCAGTGCAGCTTCTGCTGCTGTCAGTCAAACTCCAGTGAGAAGGAAGGGGGGTGGCTTCAGGGTGCTGTGTGTGTCTACAGATGTCCACAGCCCAGCTTGGGAGTGTGCATGTACAAGGGCCTCGTTAGCACCGGATGAGTACAGGAGGCACCCAAAGGAGGGAGGAGCTGGCAGCGACTGACAGAAGAGAAGGTAAGTGACCTTTCTGTGTAATGCTGTTGCACAGAGCAGGTAAGACCTCAAATCATATAACATTTCAGGCATTTCAAACACTTTAGGAATATCAGTTTTAGGTGGACTGACTCCTAATTAGAAGTATTCAAGTTTGTTTTGTTTTTTTAAGTTGATTACTATTGTTTCCTTTTTGGCCTTATATTTAACCACTTCCTGTCCAGCCCACGTATATAAACGGCCGGATGGGAGCAGTGCAGGGGGGGCGGGTTGCCGTTCATAAACAAACGCCTGCCATATTGGACTGTGCGCACTCCCCAGGAGCGCGCGGCACCACGATCTGGTGTCTGCTGTGTCCGGAGGAAAAATGTCACCAGCACACCGAGGATCACCAATATGGATCCAAAGGTTTTAATGAACGATCACATAGTTACAGAAAGGCAACGCTTCGGAGACTCGCAGGACCCCTTCATCAGGCATGTGATTCGACCCCTTCATTCGTCACATGCCTGATGAAGGGGTCCTGCGAGACTCCGAAATTTTGCCTTGCTGTAACTATGTGATCCTTCATTAAAACCTTTGGACCCATATTGGTGATCCTCGGTGTGCTGGTGACATTCTCCCTTGCTGATTTTATTCAGTTCCAGCTGACGGTCGCTGCAGCACCCACCTATACACGCAGCCATTTTTAACGCAGGAACGTGTGCGTTTGGACTATACACTTGCTGTGTCCAGGGACACAGTGGAACACCGATCGCTGTACGGGACCTGTGTGTGAGGTCCCGATTATTTGATTACTGATTGGCCAATCAGTGATCACATGAATAGTAGTAAGCAAGATGTCACTTCTGACATCATTGCTTACTACATTTGAAATCTGTGAATGATCACAGAGGTCACATGGTACAAGAATATTGACAACAGCCTGGTATCATGTGACAAGCTTTAACCAATCACAGCTCACACAGTATTTTTCAATGGCTGCAAGAATGCAGCCAGAGAGAAGGAGAAATTATTGCTTTTACAGCCTTTCTGGGTGTAAAAGCAATCGGTGTAAAAAAAAATAAAAAATCATCACCCCCCTCCCACAAGTAGTATAGTGTCACTATGGTGACACTGTACTGCTAGGGTGACAGTATGTTAAAAAAAAAACTAATAATATAAAAAAATAAAATAAAATTGTAAAAAACATTTTTAAAAATTATAATTTTTGGTTATAAACTAATTTTGGGTTATTTATTTTGACTAAAAAGGTAACTGAATACATTTTGGCCAAGATTTATGAAGAAAGATTATTTATTTGCAAAATTTTATAAGAAAAACACTTTTTTTCAAAATTTTTGGCCTTTTTTATTTATATAGCAAAAATAAAAATCCCAGTGGTGAATAAATACCACCAAAATAAAGTTTTATCGGTCTCAAAAAAATGCTAAAAATTTCATATGGGTACAGTGTTGCATAACCGTGCAATTGTCATTCAAAGTGTGACAGCGCTGAAAGCTGAAAACTGGCCTGGACAGGAAAGGGGTAAAAGTGTCCGGACTTGAAGTGGTTAATGAATATGTAACATGTTACTACAGATTTTGTCACCATAAATTAGTATATTCTTTATTCGCAGTGAGAGCAGCTGGAAAAACATGTGACATTAAAAAAAAAATGTTAAAGGTTTGGCATTTGCAATAAGAAACAACTGTGTTTACCCTAGAGAGTAATGAATCTCTAACTTGCCACAAATCCACAGTGTACTCAGTATGTGAGTGTGGAGGAGCATTCACCACCATATATACAATATCATAAGACAACAGAATAAAGAGTGTACTATAGGAGGCAAAAGAAAACAGATAGCAAATATATGCTTTCCTATAATTTTTTTTAAAAAACCATTTACCAAGCAAATCATTACAAATTGTTCATATATGTGGGTCCATAAATAAATGGCAACTCCACAGTAAAAGGAGAATTTCAGTCAGGATAAAAATTACTAGGAACCTAACAATACACATTGTCGACACTGAAGAGAAGAAGTAGGCTGAACTTTATTACTAGACTTCATGACTATTATTATCAAATGTACAAATATAGGAGTTGGACCTTACTGGCACAGAATAGGATACACATGGTATATATAAAATTTCTTACAAAAATAAGTATCAGACAAAAATGAGGTCATAAAAAAAATCTCTGTACATCTTACATGTTTCTTCATTGCACTCATCTACAGACAGCACACATTTACAGGATTGTACTCATATTTTATTAACCACAGTAACAGTGATTATTTCACGTAGATGAGTCCTAATCTCGTCGCTTGCCCCACCCCTTTCCTGACTTGCCAGGCTGCATGCTCGGATAAGGGTCTGGTATGTGATTGGGAGGGACCTCACGCTGTTTTGTTTTTTTTTATCTTGACATGGGATTCCCCTTCAAGTCCATACCAGAACCAAAGGGTGTTCTTTTTTTATAATCTGACAGCAGATGAGTCATGGTTGTTAAGGACGTGGCACCCAGGAGGCCCCCTCCCTCATTCTTTACCAACCAGCCATTATCAAATGAATATGAATCATCTGTTTTATTCAAATCCTAAGGAAACAAATAATGGTAATGTTTCATTCAGGTTTGCTGAAATTTTGTTACTGTTGTATTGAAATACAAAATTCGTCCAAATTTCAATTTGGAGCAAAACGAACCGCACATGTCTAATGCTAATAGGATGTGGCATGGGAGTGGTCCTGTACATTATGAATATTATTATTGTATGGGATTTATATAACGCCAACAGTTTGTGCAGCTCTTAGTTATGGGCACACATTACAGTTTTAATACAATTCAAGAGGAATCAAAGGTAACAATCTAAGAATATGTGATGTGCATTTTATAAATCAATTCCATTTATTTGTATGACAGTTATTGCTTACTTTCTCTACACAATTAAAGCACTGTTAGTTTTGACGTCAAATTTTGATTTAGTTTTAGTCACAGTCTTCTGACTAAAATGCCATTTTAGTTTTAGTCGTATTTTAGTCATCTGAATTGTTTTAGCTCTAGTTGTATTTTTAGTCGACTAAAATCTAATGGCGCTAATTAAATTGTAATGCATTATTTAAGCCAGCCTTTCTCAATCAGGGTGCCCAGGCACCCAGGGGTGCCTTGGCAAAATGCCTACAAACTGCCCAAAAGTTGTATACAAGCCAGCAGGTAGAACAAGCCTGCCTTTTAGCCACAGGTTTTCATTGTGCACAATTGTGACCTTCTTGCCACCAGCGTCCTGACCACCAACGACATAATCAGTTGATAAGGAGGATGTCAGCTGCCAGCACAGCATCCTAGTTTGACCCTCCCCTGTCCCTCTCCATCAATGCTGGGGTCACATTAGCTCACTGGTGGATAAATACTGAGGGAGAAGAGAAACATTGGCATACTAGTCAGTACCAGTGTGCAAAAGTGTATTTGCTTTGGAAGAATAAATCACCTCTAATGTTGGGTGTGTCCTACATGTGTGTATGCTGTTGTGTGTTATATAAAACTATTAGAATGGTTTCACATTTTAGAATGGGGTGCCTCAAGACTATCCATAATATTAAAGGGTGCCACAGGACTGTCCATAATATTAAAGGGTGCCTCAAGACTATCCATAATATTAAAGGGTGCCACAGGACTGTCCATAATATTAAAGGGTGCCTCAAGACTGTCCATAATACTAAAGGGTTCCAGGGGACCGTCCATAATATTAAAGGGTTCCTCAAGACTATCCATAATATTAAAGGGTGCCTCAGGACTGTCCATAATATTAAAGGTGCCTCAAGACTGTCCATAATACTAAAGGGTTCCACGGGACTGTCCATAATATTAAAGGGTTCCTCAAGGACTGTCCATAATACTAAAGGGTGCCACAGGACTGTCCATAATATTAAAGGGTGCCTCAAGACTGTCCATAATACTAAAGGGTTCCAGGGGACTGTCCATAATATTAAAGGGTTCCTCAAGACTATCCATAATATTAAAGGGTGCCACAGGACTGTCCATAATATTAAAGGGTGCCTCGGGACTGTCCATAATATTAAAGGGTGCCTCAAGACTATCCATAATATTAAAGGGTGCCACAGGACTGTCCATAATATTAAAGGGTGCCTCAAGACTATCCATAATATTAAAGGGTGCCTCAAGACTATCCATAATATTAAAGGGTGCCACAGGACTGTCCATAATATTAAATGGTGCCTCAAGACTGTCCATAATACAAAGGGTTCCAGGGGACTGTCCATAATATTAAAGGGTTCCTCAAGACTATCCATAATATTAAAGGGTGCCACAGGACTGTCCATAATATTAAAGGGTGCCTCAAGACTGTCCATAATACTAAAGGGTTCCAGGGGACTGTCCATAATATTAAAGGGTTCCTCAAGACTGTCCATAATATTAAAGGGTGCCAAGGACTGTCCATAATATTAAAGGGTGCCTCAAGACTGTCCATAATACTAAAGGGTGCCCAGGGGACTGTCCATAATATTAAAGGGTGCCTCAAGACTGTCCATAATATTAAAGGGTGCCTCAAGACTGTCCATAATATTAAAGGGCCTCAAGACTGTCCATAATACAAAGGGTGCCACTGTCCATAATATTAAAGGGTGCCTCAAGACTGTCCATAATACTAAAGGGTGCCACGGGACTGTCCATAATATTAAAGGGTGCCTCAAGACTGTCCATAATACTAAAAGGGTGCCACAGGACTGTCCATAATATTAAAGGGTGCCTCAAGACTGTCCATCTAAAGGGTTCCAGGGGACTGTCCATAATATTAAAGGGTTCCTCAAGACTATCCATAATATTAAAGGGTGCCACGGGACTGTCCATAATATTAAAGGGTGCCTCGGGACTGTCCATAATATTAAAGGGTGCCTCAAGACTATCCATAATATTAAAGGGTGCCACAGGACTGTCCATAATATTAAAGGGTGCCTCAAGACTGTCCATAATATAAAGGGTGCCTCAAGACTATCCATAATATTAAAGGGCCACAGGACTGTCCATAATATTAAAGGGTGCCTCAAGACTATCCATAATATTAAAGGGTGCCTCAAGGCTGTCCATAATATTAAATGGTGCCTCAAGACTGTCCATAATACTAAAGGGTTCCAGGGGACCGTCCATAATATTAAAGGGTTCCTCAAGACTATCCATAATATTAAAGGGTGCCACAGGACTGTCCATAATATTAAAGGGTGCCTCAAGACTGTCCATAATACTAAAGGGTTCCAGGGGACTGTCCATAATATTAAAGGGTTCCTCAAGACTATCCATAATATTAAAGGGTGCCTCAAGACTGTCCATAATATTAAAGGATGCCTCAAGACTGTCCATAATACTAAAGGGTGCCACGGACTGTCCATAATATTAAAGGGTGCCTCGGGACTGTCCATAATACTAAAGGGTGCCACAGGACTGTCCATAATATTAAAGGGTGCCTCAAGACTGTCCATAATACTAAAGGGTTCCAGGGGACTGTCCATAATATTAAAGGGTTCCTCAAGACTATCCATAATATTAAAGGGTGCCACAGGACTGTCCATAATATTAAAGGGTGCCTCGGGACTGTCCATAATATTAAAGGGTGCCTCAAGACTATCCATAATATTAAAGGGTGCCACAGGACTGTCCATAATATTAAAGGGTGCCTCAAGACTATCCATAATATTAAAGGGTGCCTCAAGACTATCCATAATATTAAAGGGTGCCACAGGACTGTCCATATATTAAATGGTGCCTCAAGACTATCCATAATACTAAAGGGTTTCCAGGGGACAAACCATAATATTAAAGGGTTCCTCAAGACTATCCATAATATTAAAGGGTGCCACAGGACTGTCCATAATATTAAAGGGTGCCTCAAGAACTGTCCATAATACTAAAGGGTTCCAGGGGACTGTCCATAATATTAAAGGGTTCCTCAAGACTGTCCATAATATTAAAGGATGCCTCAAGACTGTCCATCAATACTAAAGGGTGCCACGGGACTGTCCATAATATGAAAGGGTGCCTCGGGACTGTCCATAATACTTAAGGGTGCCACAGGTGCCATTAGGTGCCTCAAGACTGTCCATAATACTTAAAGGGTGCCAGGTGTCCATAATATTAAAGGTGTCAAACTTATTAAAGGGTTAACTCAAGACTATCCATAATATTAAAGGGTGCCACGGGACTGTCCATAATATTAAAGGGTGCCTCGGGACTGTCCATAATATTAAAGGGTGCCTCAAGACTATCCATAATATTAAAGGGTGCCACAGGACTGTCCATAATATTAAAGGGTGCCTCAAGACTATCCATAATATTAAAGGGTCCATAATAATTTAAAGGGTGCCACAGGACTGTCCATAATATTAAAGGGTGCCTCAAGACTATCCATAATACTGCCTCAAGACTATCCATAATATTAAATGGTGCCTCAAGACTGTCCATAATACTAAAGGGTTCCAGGGGACTGTCCATAATATTAAAGGGTTCCTCAAGACTATCCATAATATTAAAGGGTGCCACAGGACTGTCCATAATATTAAAGGGTGCCTCAAGACTGTCCATAATACTAAAGGGTTCCAGGGGACTGTCCATAATATTAAAGGGTTCCTCAAGACTATCCATAATATTAAAGGTGCCTCAAGACTGTCCATAATATTAAAGGATGCCTCAAGACTGTCCATAATACTAAAGGGTGCCACGGGACTGTCCATAATAAAGGGTGCCTCGGGACTGTCCATAATACTAAAAGGTGCCACAGGACTGTCCATAATATTAAAGGTGCCTCAAGACTGTCCCATAATATTAAAGGGTTCCAGGGGACTGTCCATAATATTAAAGGGTTCCTCAAGACTATCCATAATATTAAAGGGTGCCACAGGACTGTCCATAATATTAAAGGGTGCCTCGGGACTGTCCATAATATTAAAGGGTGCCTCAAGACTATCCATAATATTAAAGGGTGCCACAGGGGACTGTCCATAATATTAAAGGGTGCCTCAAGACTATCCATAATATTAAAGGGTGCCTCAAGACTAAAATATTAAAGGGTGCCACAGGACTGTCCATAATATTAAATGGTGCCTCAAGACTGTCCATAATACTAAAGGGTTCCAGGGGGACCGTCCATAATATTAAAGGGTTCCTCAAGACTATCCATAATATTAAAGGGTGCCACAGGCCTGTCCATAATATTAAATGGTGCCTCAAGACTGTCCATAATACTAAAGGGTTCCAGGGGACCGTCCATAAATTAAAGGGTTCCTCAAGACTGTCCATAATATTAAAGGGTGCCACAGGACTGTCCATAATATTAAAGGGTGCCTCAAGACTGTCCATAATACTAAAGGGTTCCTGTCCATAATATTAAAGGGTTCCTCAAGACTATCCATATATTAAAGGGTGCCTCGGGACTGTCCATAATATTAAAGGATGCCTCAAGACTGTCCATAATACTAAAGGGTGCCACAGGACTGTCCATAATATTAAAGGGTGCCTCAAGACTGTCCATAATACTAAAGGGTGCCACAGGACTGTCCATAATATTAAAGGGTGCCTCAAGACTGTCCATAATACTAAAGGGTGCCACAGGACTGTCCATAATATTAAAGGGTGCCTCAAGACTGTCCATAATACTAAAGGGTGCCACGGGACTGTCCACAATATTAAAGGGTGCCTCGGGACTGTCCATAATTTTGAAGGGTGCCTTTACTGAAAAACGGTTGAGAAGCACTGATTTAAGCATTTCTCTAGAATTTCCAAACTCAATATATACTCGGTGAGTAAAAATGTAATAACGTTATTATTTCTGGTATTGAAGTTTGAACATGTACTACAGACGCATATTAAGCCGCGATATATAACATCCTTATAAATAAAAGTTTCATAAACAAACAAAAATATTGCTTTTTGACAAACAGAAGTGAAACTTTAAAATATAAAAAAACAAACTATAAACTCTATTGGCTGTAATGCCATTACACCTATTACCTGATATATTGCCAACACTAAATACTAAGGAAAAAAAACAAAGAAAGCCTTTTTCTTATTTTTCTTTTCTTTTTTTTTTTTTCAGCAGCTTAGTAGATGCCCCCTACTTATTCTTATGTGGTAGTGCAGTGTTAATTTTGATGTCAAATTTCGATTCAGTTTAATCAATGTCTTTTGACTAAAAATGCCATTTTAGTTTTAGTTGTATTTTAGTCAACTGAATTGTTTTAGTCCTATTTTAGCTGATTAAAATAGTGTTAATTTAGTCGATACAAATTTTTTCATCGATTAAATCAACACTGAATTAAAGTCTGAGAATCTTTACTGTATGCCAAAGTTATACCATTTTCCAATACGTGTTCTATACTTTTCTACTTTCCCATGTATTCGCGTCCACATGTACACTGTGTACACAGTTATTAGACAAGTGAGTATTTTGACCAAATGATCATTTTTATGCATATTGTCCAACTCCAAGCTGTATAAACTTGAATGGTTATTGGATTTATCAGGTGATATGTATTTGTGTAATGAGGGAGGGTGTGGCCTAAGGAGATCAACACCCTAAATCAAGGTGTACATAATTAATAGGCAGCTTCTTTTCCTCAGGCAAAATAAGCCAAAAAAGAGATTTAACTGACTCTGAAAAGAAAAACTGTAAAAACTCTTTCAGAGGAATGCAACACCCTTGGAATTGCTAAGATATTGGGGTGTGATTACAGAATTATCAAACATTTTGTTGCAAATAGTCAACAGGGTTGCAAGAACCATGTGTGAGAAAAAAAGATGCAAATTAACTGCCAAAGAGAATAATCAAATGTGAAGCTACCAGGAACCCATTATCCTCCAGCTATCATATTGCAGAACTGCAACCTACAGTGAGGAACAGAAGTATTTGAACACCCTGCGATTTTGCAAGTTCTCCTATGGAGGGGTCTGAAATTCACATTGTAGGTGCATTTCCACTCTGAGAGACAGAATTTAAAAAAAAGTTCAGGAAATCACATTGTATGATTTTTAAAGAATTTGTCTTGCACTGCTGAACATAAGTATTTGAACACCTAAGAAACAGCAAGAATTCTGTCTCTCAAAGACCTGTTACTGTGCCTTTAAAATGTCCACCTCTACTCCACTCATTAATCTAACTTAGTAGCACCTGTCTGAGCTCTTTAACCTCCCTGGCGGTATGATTATTTCCGATTTTTTGGTGCTGAAAGCGGTACCATTTTTTTGCATGGAAATATGTAGTTTTTTATTTTTAGCTGTAATTTTTAGGAATAACAAACTGAAATCTGTCCGAACAAGAGTCTAGTAAACATCCCAGGTATGATAAAACTTGAAACACAAAATCATAAATTATAATTTAATAATCATAAAAAATAATAATATAATAATAAATTTAATTCAATAATATAATCAAACCAAAAACACTGAAATTTGAAATACAGAGGCAAATTCGCACATCGCTGAGCAAAGTCGCAAAATCGTTTTCAGTGTCTGATGATGAATTTCTCCACAAATCATTATCACTCAATTCTGCAAGTGGTTCTAATTTACTATCGCTGTTCTCTAGCCGGTCTAAAACCGCTTTTGACATAAAGGGACGCTTTTTGGACGCCATGGACTTTTCTAAGTTTTCAGGCAGAAAGAAAAGTCAAAATGCAGGCAGGGCACAGGACAAAGCACTCGGGACAAAATATATGTGAAATGGATTGAAACAGCAATGTTTTACTATATAATAATAATTTTTTTAAAAAATGACATTTTTAAAAAATTTTAAATATGCCACCGGTTCCGGCGCCCGTACGTCCCGATGTCACAGGGACCGGAACACGGAAGCCGGATACCGGCATCGGCTGGAGGAGATGGCCGGGGACGCTGCAGGGCAGGGACACATCGTGGGAGCGAAGGACAAGGTAAGCACTGCAGGGACTCCCTGAGCAATGCCGCATGGTAAGCCCGAGTGTAGCTCGGGGTTACCGCTTGTGGTACTGAAATTTTACCCCGAGCTACACTCGGGAATACCGCCAGGGGGGGTTAAAGACACCTGTCCACCCCACAGTCAGTCAGACGCCAACTACTACAATGGGCAAGACCAAAGAGCTGTCAAAAGACACCAGAGACAAAATTGTGGACCTCCACAAGGCTGGAAAGGGCTACAGGGCAATTGCCAAGCAGCTTGGTGAAAACAGATCAACTGTTGGAGCAATTGTTAGAAAATGGAAGAGGCTAAAGACGACTGTCAGTTTCCCTCGGACTGGGGCTCCATGCAAGATCTCACCTCATGGGGTATCACTGATGATAAGAAAGGTGAGGAATCAGCCCAGAACTACAAGGGTGGAGCTGGTCAATGACATGAAGAGAGCTGGGACCACAGTTTCAAAGGTCACTGTCAGTAGAACACTACGCCGTCATGGTTTCAAATCATGCATGGCACGGAAGGTTCCCCTGCTCAAGTCATCACATGTCCAGGCCTGTCTGAAGTTTGCCAATGACCATCTGGATGATCCAGAGGAGGCACGGGAGAAACAAACAAAGGCTTCTGTACCAAGTATTAACACTGATTTTCTCAGGTGTTCAAATACTTATGTTCAGCAGTGCAAGACAAATAAATTCTTTAAAAATCATACAATGTGATTTCCTGAATTTTTTTTACATTCTGTCTCTCAGAGTGGGAATGCACCTACAATGTGAATTTCAGACCCCTCCATGATTTCTAAGTGGGAGAACTTGCAAAATCACAGGGTGTTGAAATACTTCTGTTCCTCACTGTACCTGGAGTGCCCAGAAGTACAAAGTGTTCAGTGCTCAGAGATATGGCCAAAGAAACCTGACCACCACTGAACAAGACACATACTGTAAGATGAAACATCAAGACTGGGCCAAGAAATATCTGAAAACAAATTTTTCAAAGGTTTTATGGACTAAGATAAGAGTGACTCTTGATGGACCAGATGGATTGGCCCATGACTGGATCAGTAATGGGCACATAGCTCCACTTCAAATCAGACACCAGCAAGGTAGAGATGGAGTACTGTTATGGGCTGGTATTAATAAAGATGAGCTAGGTGGACCTTTTCAAGTTGAAGATGGACAAAAAAAATAAACTCCCAAAACCCACTGCCAGTTTTTAGAAGACACTTTCTTCAAGCAGTGGTACAGGAAAAACATCTTCATCTTTCAAGAAAACCATGATATTTATGCAGGACAATACTTCAACACTTGCATTGAAGTACTCCACTGCGTAGCTAGCCAGTAAAGACTAAAAGATGAAAGAATAATGAAATGGCCCCCTTCCTCACCTGAACTAAACCCTATTGAGAACTTGTGGCCCCTTCTTAAACGGGAGATTTACGGTGAAGGAAAACAGTACACATCTCAGAACAGTGTCTGGGAGGCTGTGGTTGCTGCTGCGCAAAAAGTTGATTATCAACAGATCAAGAAATTGACAGACTCCATGAATCGAAGGCTTATGACTGTTATTGAAAAGAGGGGTTGGCTATATAGGTCACTGATTTTTTTTTTTAAATGCCTGAAATTTTTAGGCATGATATATTTCTTAGAGGATAAGTTCACCTTGACAGAAAAAATAATAAATGCACGTTTTTGTAGACAAAAAAGTGCATTTATTGTTTTTTTCCTATGGGAGCCTGGATATCATTGCCCCTGCGATCAGTAGATCACAAGTGCAATGTGGGCTCCTCCGGCTTTCAACCCATACC